GATTTCAGCTATTTGGCCTACCATGAACCGGAATGGAAGCCCCTGAATGCCCTCCTTCTTCAGCTGCGCCGCGATCGCCCTGGGGCGCCACCAGTAGACCGTCACGAATCGCCATAGCGCTGCAGTGAAGAGGACGATGCAAGTGCTCAAGATCCATCTCCCTTCCATTTGCTGGATTAAGGGTAAAATGTGTGGGAGATGTGGGCGAGTGCATTTAAGCCAAACAGATGGAGTGGATCTATCCCTAAGAAACTACAGGAACTTGTAGCGTTACACTGTTACTCGTTGGTTAGTGGTGGTTTGTGTGTGGTTACTCACTTTTCAATGATATTGGACGACATCGCAAGTCAGATTGGCTATTGTAAAAGTAAACCGGCAAAGATTCTGGCAAGTGTGGTTACTCACTTACCACCTCTAGAGGTATGGGCCAAATTTTGTCAACCATATGTATACCTCTAGAGGTGGTAAGTGAGTAACCACACTTGCCGGAATCTTTGCCGATTTACTTTTACAATAGCCAATCTGACTACAAATTTTGTCAACATGACCCATTTCTAAAATTTCTACTATACAAATTAGAAGAACTTTTCAAAGATGGTGTGAAAGTCAAATATGGGTTGGATGTTTGTTTTCTAAGGCTACAAGAGTTTAAACAACTAATTTTATGCTTAATTTCTGGATCAAACCATCCAACATAATGCAAGCTATTGAAAATGTTAAGTAAGGGAAGAGTAAGTTGTCTACATTACAAATGTCACACTGGAAGTACTCAAATATTTTATTAAATTTGATGGAACTAAAACAACTCAAAACTATGCAAGATTAGGAGGAAAGAGTAGATAAAGTTTTGGTTGTTTAATGGTTTTCACTCACAAATCTCAAGAAAATCTAGAGGGATACTGATATTCATAATAGAACACTACTCTCTTTCTTAATTGTTATGGGTAAGTAGATTTGAGTTAAATTATTGAATGGATTTTTTAATAAGCTTTTGTCTAAACTTGATTTGGTGTTCTCTTTTGTTGTGGAGCTAATGCATAAAAGTGTATTAAATGGATATAAAAAATTTGATGATGAGCTTTTTGCTATGGTGGAGAGTAAAAATAAATACTTAATAACTTTAACACATCTACATAATTAACAAGTTCTGATTTAGTAAGATGCTTAAATCTTGTATATTATTCAAACACTTAATTATTAGCAAGCTATTGAGCATCAAGTATTTGCTCAATGGTATACTCCCTATATCATGGTTGGATTACTAAATGATAGTCTAAAAAGGTGTTATAGGTTTATATTGGTTATTATTAATATTTTTTATAATGTTAGTAAGATTTATGACTAAGAACACTTCAACATGCTTGTGAATATTGTAACTAGTTAGAAGTGTTAAATGGAGAGGAGCACATGTAGAACACTCACTTGGATAAAGGTATGTTTTTTTTATAACAACTTTAACTATGGAGAATTTGGTAATTATTGGGTTGCAACTTTAGAGAGTGAATTCAAATATTTATATGATATCACAACAAACTCAAAAACTATAAAGAAAACATGGGAAAGAATAGTATATAGTACATTAGTTTATCATAACATTTATATTTCTTTTAAGTTAATTGATTGATTTGTTCATTTGTTGAAAAAGAAAAATGATTTAGCTTTTAATTTTGTTCAACTTACAATATCATATAGTGATGTGTTAATTTTAAATGGACTCATTGTAATTAAATTATAGGTCCAAGCTTCACAATTATAGAAACAAGTAAAAGAACTAGTTTTGGTGCTTTATAAGTGTTAGAAACTAAAATTCCAACTTAGTGTAAATAAAATTTCTAAGCATGTGGCCTATTTTTGGGGTTGCTAGAATCAATTCTGCCACAACAATGAGCACAAAGATTGCACCTTATCAAGCAATTTACATTCACTTAAAATTTTTTAAATAATAATCAAACACAATTATCAAAGATGAAAATAACTCAAAGAAAAACTTGGTTTATATATAATACTATTTCTAGGAGAGATTTTTTTTGGAAATCACAAAAAAATTCTTAATTTTTGTCAACAACAAAATCTAAGTTTTCTTTTTGGGAAATTACTGTTAGTAAAATTTATCTTTTAGATTTTTAACTCTTGAGATAAATAAGTTTATATTTTGGTTTACCAGTACATTTATCCAAATTCTCATTTATCACCTCAAGTAGATGTTGAAATTGGATGGAAAATCTTAAACCCTTGTCAAATGGGATTTGATCACATTTGTATAATTCTAGTTGAGCTCATTTTGATCGAAATTTTCATTCTCTCACACTATGATTCCCACTAGAAAAGATGTAAGTTAGCTTTGGAGGTGGTTCAAGATTGTGAATTAAATCAGTATTGCCCAGTTATAGTGGATATTTTTTATATTGGAGAACATTTCACTTATGTATTCCAAACTTCAAACACTAATTCTTCTTTTGAGATTCCTTTACTTGGGAATTCCCCATTCAATAAATGTTCACTTGCAAAAGGGCATCTTCAATCCATTTTATTTGAATTCATTAATGCATTTGTGTTTTTATGCAAGTTTTCAACTGAGTTTGAAGGATTGTATAAGAGATGCCAAGTAAGTGATTGTCTACTTCAAAGATGCTCAAAGTTATGGTCTTGCAGTATTGCTAAGATTATGACCATACAACTATTAATATTTACTCAAGAAGAATAAATACATCACCACTTCAGATGGGTTGATCACAAGTGGATGAAGTACCTAACTTTAGGACAATCTTCTTTAAAGGTTAGCTTTTAAACATTAATATAAATCATTCCAAAAACTGATTTATAAAGTTAATCATATTTCAAGACCATGCTACAAACATAGACAGAAGCAGTAAATCATAACCACTATATAGAACTAATAAAAATACCTATAGCCAAATTTTAAAACCATATATAAAACTTACTGGAAAACTCAAATTGTCAAAACATGCTGAAAAACCTATATTGTCACTGTAGTGTTATGAACCACCTGAACTACCTATACAGTTTTGGAATTCAAGTCTAGAGTCCAGCATTGTTCGCTGCTGCTGTTCGCGAAGCTTAGCCAGAGCCAATGCTGCTCTCTGCAAAGAACCGTCGGGGTTCCTCACGATCTTCACAGGTGAGAGATCAACCGAGTCCCCTCAAGAACGCAGGCTCGTCCTCGTTCAGCTCTATTTCAAGCTCTTCTTCCTCACCCTCGTCGTCATACAGCATACAACCTCCGTCATCGTCATGCATGGGATTATTTCGCATGCCCACCACCCCTGAAGCAGCCAGCTGCGTTATTTCAAACCTCTCTGGAGAGCTGCTGCTTCTCCCACTGCTATCCGTGTCCCTATGCCTTTCTCCATCTCGATCCCGCTCGCAATCCCTCTCCTCTTTATCTCGCTCCTTCTCCTTATGATCTCTATCTTCCTCCCTCCCCCGATGTCTATCCTTGTCTTTCCTCACGGGCGGGAAGATGGCGTGAATGATCGCCAGCAGCCTCTTGACGAAGTCATCCGGGAACTCCGCCCCGTTTTCCTTGAGCTTGCCGCCGAATTTCTCCACGCTCTCGCTGCGCCGGCCCAGCTCGATGATACACTCGGCCAGCGTCTTGTTGCTGCACCCTACGTGCGTTTCTAGCTCGGTGCATACCTTTGACACGAGCGACAAGTGGAGCTCCATCGCTGAGCTCTCCCTTTTTTTAATCTTTATATAACCATGGTTACTAAACTCTTAGGGCTGTTTATTCAGTTCACTCTTTTTGTTCACAAAAATTGATACTCTATAAAGATCCATCTAATCTTGTATTTCTGTGACAATTTTAGTATGAAAAGTTTATAATGCGGCTATGCTGAGGTAGAATTATTAATTTTTTAAAATACAGCTCAAGGCACTCTTGTATATAACACAGAAAAAATCACAATGACTTACAGAACTCTGTGACAAAGTTGGCCATCATGGGATCGTAGTCGGGAGCTTCCATCTGGAAATGGCCGACTCCAGGGACGAGGCGCGTCTCGGCTCTCCCAACCGCGGACTTGAGCTTGGATTCCAGCTGCTTGACGCTCGTAAACCCATCGCGAGTTCCCATGACGAACAGCTTGGGCTTGGCCGACTGGAGGATCGCTTTGTTGTGGCGGCCGAAAAGAACCGACGCCCAGAATCCAAACGGGTAGCCCAGCCCCACGTATCCCACTACTTCTTTCACCTGATCCACAGCCGAGCCAGCAATTGGAGCCCCTGGAATCGAGAAAAGAGAAACTAGAGTTAGAACCCAAAAGGAAATGCATGCTCCATTCTCTCATCCTGATGATCATCCATCAAGAGTTCCTGTTTCGATCAAGCAATGCTTCCAAACAAGACTGAAGATAAAAAGGAAATCCACAACAGAACTCCAAAGCTTGGGAGAAAGAGACGAAGAAACGAAAGAGGAGGAAGAACAGCTATGGAAAAACTAGAGCTTCCAAACCGACTAGAGTACGATCGGTCGGAGGAGTTTCACGTACCCGCTGAAGAGCCGACGAGAACGATCCTCGAGGCAGGGATTTTCTCCACGGCCCACTCGCAAACTCTCACCACGTCCTGGACCTCCGACGATCCCATGAGCGTAGCCCGCCCGGAGGATCGCCCAGCACCACGCATATCAAACGTGACAACCAGGTATCCCCTGTTGTTGAGCTCCGTCGCCATCCCTTTGAGCAATCCCTGACACCCGCCAAGCACCGTGAATTGGTGCACCAGAACCAGCGCCAGATCTGCGATGCGCGCCTCCTCCGCCGGCCTGTAGATCCTCACAGCGAGCGAGATTCCATTCCCTCCATCCACACTCTCGAATTCCACTGCCATGGCCACGATCTAAGCTGGCGCCGGGGGATTCCCAGCTCCTGGCGAGCTACAAACACCTGCTGATCGGTCGGGGAGGGAAGATCGCGCGCCCTGCTGCCCGCATTGTCGACGATGCCGCTTAAAAACCCTAGCCAACAAAACCAAGGCTCTTTTCCATGTCATAGGAGGAGGAGAGAAGGGACATTCTTTTAGCTGCGGGGTTGCGATCGATCGAGCGAGAGGGAATCGGTGTGCGCCTTAAAATCCTGGTCGCTCTATCGGATAGAAGCGAGCGATCGTGTCGCTTGCGCTCGAAGGGTAGGGTTTTTGGTTCTCCCAGAGTGTAGGTAGGGCTTTGCAATGCCGCTGCGCCTCCTCCTCTAGAAGCGCGCAGATCTATCGTCTTCGTCGAGGTATGTGGAGTAATCTCTCCTTGTTCTTCCCCTCTTCTCATTAGCTCTTTTCATTCATCAGTAGCAACGCAAAGCGAAAAAAGAGGTTTTCTTTTCGCGAGGATCACAATGGGTTCCTTGCTGGGCGATCTTCCTTCGTACAACCCGCACAATTTCAGCCAGTTGAGACCATCGGATCCTTCTCATCGCTCCGTAAGAGATCGACGAGCATTTTCTCTTCGGTTTTTCTTCTCTTCGTGTTTTCTTCGTTGTTCTTGCTTGACTGACCACCATTTCTTTTTTTTTTTTCTTTTTTTTTTTGCAGCAACTCACACCGCTCACTTATCACGCTACTCACGACCGGACGATGCCTCCGGCGGATCAAGGTAACCATCACCATAGCTTCGCGAATTTGAGCTAACTTTGCTTTCTTTGCAGTCATCTCCACTGAAGCTACCAACATTTTGCTGAGGCACTTCTATCAAAAAGCCGATCACAAGGTAAGTTCTTCCCGATCAATGCTATGATTCATTCATCACTCACTCGAGTGTATGCAAGCAGCTCAAGTTGAAGCGCTCGGCCACCGATTCGCCTCTCGGGGATCACAAGCGTCCCAAGAGCACAACTTGCGCTCCAGAGAAGAGATGATCGCGAGTTCTCCCTGTACTTAACAAGCCCGCGATGGAAAAAAAAACAGAGGTTGGCTACACAGGTTTGATGAGCAGAATCCATTTTCTCGATCTCTAAGCTTGTGAATATCTAGATCGACAATGGTAACTTTCTTTTAGAAACTTGTGTACACAGGTGATTCACCGCCCTCTAGCAGATCTCTCACTCCGGCTCGTACTCGATCAGCGTCGGCACCGCCCAAGGCTCGTTCTGCGCGGAACTCTTTATCCTCTTCACGTTGAACTGGAGTTGCAACTCCCCGAGTCTTTCGACTGTGGCTTTTCCCTGTTCGATCCATCGTCACTTTGGAAATGAAAACGCTACTCTATCAACGAGTTACCTGCTTGTCTTCGAGAACTACGTGCTCCGAGATGGCCGCCTTTGCCTTTGGTACAAGAAAACTTGTAAGTTTCTAGCTCTTGTGTTCTAAGTCTCTAGCTTGTGTTCTAATCTTGAGAAGCTTGCTTGCTTACCAGGCTGTAGAAATGCGAGAGCTTCTCGGCGTCGAAGCCTCTGTCAGTGACGAGAAGCTTGGAAAATCTCTGCTTGGCGACTCTCCTCGTCCCGGCCTGGAAAGAACGAACAAGCGATGAGGAAAAACCAGGAAACGAGCAATCTTGTAGCTACCTGCGACGATTGTAAGCCCAAGACAACGCTCCAGGCCTCGCCTAGCCGATGCAAGAAACTTTGGCTGTGATCTCCTCCACCAGCGCAGCGAATTTGACTGCTTCTTCGTCGTGATCTCGGCACCAAAGCTCGCTGGCTGTGATGGAAGCGCGGATCACAAAAACCTCTGGCGCTGTCCATTCGATTCGATTCGAGAAAAATAAGGGAAAGGGGAGAGAACTCCACTGTACACAGGCTAGCTAGGAAAGAGTTTTTTACAACCACGTAAGAACGTAAGAACTAACGGCTAGTTTCTTCTGTGGAACCTTTTTTTACCCTGTGGATTTCTCGATTATAAGTACAAGATCGTCAGGAAAATATGAGAAAAAATCGACTGGATTGTCAAGCAACTTCCATATCGTCGCTAGACGCGGATGGTTTATGAATTTTAAAGCCAAAGATCCTAGGAACGTAGCCAGACGACGATGGATGCTTGACACAGGGCTTGATTTCCATGGGATGCGTCAGGAGTAGCAAGTGCGCGAATGTGGGACCAAAGTATGCGCCATCGACACCTGGAATCCAGAACAGAGATCTTAGCGATGGCGAGAAAGATAAGATAACAACAGGAACTTTGCTTACTTCGATGTTGCACGGCGATCGGATCAAACACGTCTTCGCACCGGGGGCAGAAGAAGCGAACCGTGGACACTCCTGGATCGTCCGAGAGCCCAACTGGAAGACAAGTTTGATCCTCGCAGCAGGATCTCGGGCACTTTTCAAACTCTTCGTGCTTGAACTTTCTCGCCTGGACAAGAGGAGAAGAAAAAAACATGATGAACAAAAGAAGCGTTTCATAAGTGATGTGAGAAAACGTACCATGGCCTCGAGTCCTTTGGTGGATAGAATGTACCGCCTGTGGATCAGACCATACAACTTTTGCGCTTCTTCATCGAAATACCCCCCTGGAAAAACGAGAATATTCAAGGAGGGGGTGAGAACGAGAGAGCTTGAGAACTTACTGTACGTCTCGAGGATGTCACGCAGAGATCCATGATAATCCAAGACCTCGTTGCTAAGCCCGTGGAGATTAAACTGATCCCGGATGAAGTCGGTGTCAACTCTCACGAAAAGATCGTTCTCCTTCTGCGAACAAAAAGCCTCGATCCATCCTGCAACAACCACAATTTATAGTTTCTCCATAGTGATCCCAGCTCTCAAAACTCACCAGGAGAGTTTTCCAAGTGCTTCTCTCGCTTGAGCGCCTCCACATTGCTCCTCTGGCTCCCCACGAAAAACTTGATCTTCTTCGGCCGCCCTTCCGCGGCGTTCTTCATCTCTACAAACACGAGGAAAACCTCCCTTGTCAGCGCAAATTCCATTTGTTCTTTCCTTTTTACTTACGCTTGGAAGCCGCGAGGCAGTAGAAGCGACGATGACTCCTCAGCAGTTGGCGGCAGCGCAAGGCGCTATGGATTTCCCGCATCCCTGTTGCCCTAAACCCCTAAAACCCACGAACCAATCTTCACGGCCTTGTCACCTCGAGTCCCAAACTTCACCTTCCTTGGCGCCCCATAGCCGAGCTCCAATCGCAGCGCATCCTGGCCGTCCAACCATTCGCACTTGTGGGATTTTTAGGGCTCCTCCGGCGGCGTACTTTCTATTAGTAGAAAGGGCCAAAGTTATATAAGCTCTATCCATAAAAGAAAAATATTAAGGAAACCTTTCCATAAGTATCACTTCCATGATTCATCTGGAATGGAGATTCGAGCAAACCATCGTCAAGACAATGATAAAAACATGGAAGTGATTCAAACCTTGCGAGGAGTATCGAGGCCTTTAGTTTGGCCATCGTTTGCCATAGACGTCTGGGTGTAAGTATTGCTTGTCCCACTTCCATGGTTCATCTGGCACCAAGAATCCAGCAAGCCACTCTCAAGACAATGGAAGCTTCAAACCTTGCGAGGAGTATCGAGGCGGCGGCAATGCGTAAGGCAGAGGCAGCCTTATAATCTTCGCGTTGGTATCTTCTTCCTCGTCCATGCTCTCGGTGGCAGCGAGAGTATACAGCTTCACGTTGGGTGCTCCGGTTTTGCAAGCCTCGTTTTCGTTGATCAGGGGCAAGTCTTCGGTGCAAGAGTATCTGTTCTTGAATTTGCTGAGCATCGAAGGCAGGAAAACTACACCCAGCTGGGGAGAAGATGAAGTCAGGACTGCTGCGAAGCTCATTTCATTAGGAATGCAAACCTCGTAAGAACGGATCATTAGTTGTGTCTTGTTCTTTTGCAAAGCACCCCACGCCGCTTTGCTGAGATTCGAGGACGTGAGACACACCCAACTGCGTGGGAGATATGTCACAAAATATCAAGGAAATGCACGGACTTACGCCAGAGCGTTTTCCCGAAAGCGTACAAAAGTCTTGATGTGAGGCATAGCACGACTGCATGACAAGAACAAGAGCTTGAGTTTTTGCAGCGTTTGAAACAATGGTAAACCTTCTTCCAGTATGCTCTGCTTGCCACCGCGACCAGTACTTCTTAAGCAGTGGCTTCTCCACATTTTTCGCGGGACTTGGAATCGCGGCCCCAGCACGATACCCCTGAGAAGACGATGCAAGTTCAGTTCCAGCGCCTATAACGGGAAACAATCGCTGACCTCGAGTGATTGTCGAACGTCTTCAACGGTGGGAAAAATAATTTGAGCTTCTCCTAAGCCCAAGCGTCGCCCATCAAGTGTCGAACCTTCGCTTAGCGAAGACGAGAATTCTTCCATCCATTTCTCGTCAAGCGATCCAAGCGAGGAAAACTGCAAGAAATGAAGCAAGTTACGACGATGCATAGATCGTGACTCTAGGTACCTGATACACAAGAGGAGAATTCTGGAACTTTTTATCAAACTTCTCCTCCTTCAAAATCGAACGGAGCTTCATATGACCCCACTTATTCAGCTGAGGGCCACTGTGATAGCCAGGTATGGATCCTATCAGCCGTACCTGGTAGCTAGAAGCGTCAGTTCCATTCATTTTAAAGTGCGAAAAATAATTACCGCAGCATTGCTGAAATCGAAGTTTCGGAAATAGCTTGCGTTGATCTTCATCTGTCCATGGTGTTGGACATCTACGGTACATCCTGACCACTGTAAAAAAACTGATCTTGTTCGCGAAAGGCTACAGGAAACCTGACGTACCTCAAGTGCTGTCAAATAGTCCACCAGATCGTTTTCAAAGTCTGATGCAGTGGTAATCCCCGTCATACTTTTTAAAGGAAAATCTTGCATCCACAAGCCTTGGGTCTTGTTATTCCAATCGATATTGATCAGGTTTGCAGTGTGCACAACAACTCGGACACCAGTTGGATAAACAAGTAGCATGGCTTTGGAATGGTGTGTTCCATATGAGATCCACAATCTCGGCTTGAAGAGTAGCCAGTTACTTGGCTTCACAGACTACACACAAAAGGAAACCAAAAAAAGCATTAGACAAAAGCTACACAATAGACACAACAGCGCAAACCTGCAGTTGTGAAACGTTGCTCTCTCCGTGGATCATCACCACTTGCGGGATCGACCTCAAAAGCGGGCAAGCTACGAATAAAAAGTTATTTGGAAGGAAAAAAAACAAGCAGTAGCTTTACCAGAGAGCAGCCACTCGATGTCCACCATGTAATTCGAGAGGATCGCAACGAGAACATCGCCCTGACTCAATCACAAAAGTTCTTATAACGTAAGACCACCAAAGCACGAATCACCTTTATCACATCAGAAATTCGCACGCACCCAGCGTTCGCCCAGTCGGGCAAGCCTTGAACACGCAGTAGCTGGAAACCACAAGGCGATCTCGAGCTCTGAAGCATTTTCGAATTCTCGGGCTCGCCACCTCGCGTGTTCTTCGAGTGTACAGTCGTCGCCATATCCTGAGCACACAAGGAAAATGCTTGTTTCGTGAAGGAAGATAGAAAAAAAAAAAAAGGATAGATACCTCCTGCTGCAAAGCTCGGGCGAATGCTTCGTCGTCCTCGATTTGCCTCTTTCGCTTGTTGGAAGCAAGCACATTGTCACTTTGAGACGCTGCTGCCTTCCCTTTAAGCGAAGAACACAGCATAAACTTGAAGAAGCGATCTCCTTCGACAATGTCGCCAGCACGGAGTGGAGATTTGGACTGCGAGCTGAGGATAATCTTCGCGCTGGAGCCGGATTTGATCGAGATTGAGCTCGACCCTGTCTGGAGTGCATCGATCAATCGAGAAAACAAAGAAAATGCAAGGATCATAATCATACCACTGAAATCTCCATCTCCAATGCCGAAGAAGAAACCTCAACAACAAGATTGCTGCTCCTTCCGACCGAGTTGAAACCTCGAAATATCGGTATCGCTGCAACCGACGGATCCTCCTCTCCATTCGCAAGCAGCGGAAGCAGCAATCCAATTTGATCCTGGCAGGGAAAGAGCTACAAATCAAAACCGCCGCGATCGCGATCGCAAGGAAGAAGATACCTCGACTTCCATTCCAACCAAGAGCCCTAAAACCCGGGCATTTTCATTGTATCATCTTGACCGTCCATTCTGATGTTTAAATCGATCTTAGGGCTCCTAGGATTAGGGTTCTTCCGGCGGCTAGGGGAAAGAAAGAGCTAGCGCAATGCCGGCGGGACACGGGCAGAGGGCGCGTACCAGGGATCTGTTCGCGAGGGAGTTCCGCAAGAAGGGGCCGATCCCGCTCAGCGTCTACCTGCGCACATTCCGTGTGGGCGACTACGTGGATGTCAAGGTGAATGGCGCGATCCACAAGGGCATGCCGCACAAATTCTACCACGGCCGCACCGGGGTTGTGTGGAATGTCACCAAGCGCGCGGTCGGAGTCGAGATGAACAAGCAGGTATGCCTCGCATCAATCTTTTCGTCTTTCTATTCCAATTCGATGTGGGTTTTCGCAAGATTTTGATGTGGATTCTTGGCTTCTTCTGCTAGGTGGGGAACAGGATCATCAAGAAGAGGCTACACGTCCGGATCGAGCACGTCAAGCCCTCGCGCTGCCGGGAGGATTTCCTCAAGAGAATCAAGAGCAGTGCGGAGGCGAGGAAGAGTGGCAACAAGACGTGCCTCAAGCGCCAGCCCGCGGGGCCAAAGCCTGGATTTATCGTCGAGGGCGCGACGCTAGAGACTGTCACTCCTGTGCCATACGATGTTGTCAACGATCTCAAGGGAGGCTACTGAAGAGCCTTCTTCAAAACTCTTTTTGCACGACCTCTAGTAAAAGTTTGTGACTTCTCCAAGAACCCTAATTTTTCTATGAACGCCCATTTTTCCAAGAACCCTAATTTTTTGGGTTGGAGATGAGGAGCAGCGTCTTCGATGAGGTCCGTTCTAGGGTTGGCTTCGTGGGCCGTGCTTCTCCTCTTCCTCTCCGGGCGCATTCCCTCCAATCCCGCGGCAAGCAGCCACTCGCGGGGAAGAGCGCTCCTTGATCTCGCGCTCGCGCAGCCGGCAGCCGCCCCAAATCACTTGATCGGCAGCGGCGGCTGTGACAGCCCAGGGAAATCTCACGATGCGTGTTCCTTCGTCAAGGCTCACGCCCGTGACTGCGCGTCGGGGGGCGCCATCGATTACACGCGGATCTTCTTCTGCCGCTTTGGAGCTCTCCCATGGCTGGGGCATTTGCTGCTGGGCATTTGGCTCGCCTCGCTCTTCTACATGCTGGGCAACACCGCCGCCGACTACTTTTGTTGCTCGCTCCAGAAGCTCTCCAGCTTGCTCCATCTCCCTCCCACCGTCGCGGGGGTCTCCTTACTCCCTCTCGGCAATGGAGCTCCGGACGTCTTCGCCAGTATCGCGGCCTTCGTGGGGGCTGGAGCTGGCGAAGTTGGCCTAAACAGTGTTCTTGGAGGAGCTGTGTTCGTGACTTCCGTGGTGGCGGGGCTCGTCTACGTGATCACTGCCGGGAGAACTTCCAGCTCCGTCCAGCTCGATCGCCACTGCTTCATCCGGGACGTTTGCTTCTTCCTTGTCACCCTCGCGATCCTCACGATCATTCTCTACGTTGGGAGGATTAGTTTCTGGGGAGCTGTGGCCTTCGTCTCGATCTATCTCGTCTATGCCGTCACTGTGGCTGCCTCGGAGGTGATCAAGAAGCAAGCATCCAAGCTACGGTGGCTGCCCATGCAAGCCGTGGTTCACGACGAGGATCCAGAGAACAACTGGTATACACCGCTGATGGATCCGGATTCTTCCGGGGCGACGAGCAACCCGATCGAGATCACGTTGCCGCAGTGGAGGTGGGCTTCTCACGTAGCGATCTACGCGCACCAGCAGCCAGTCGAGGAGGCTGTTCCCCGCCCGCTCTGGGGATGGAGCGAGCAGCAAGAGGAGCACGAGTCTTCTCGGAACTGGAAGAGCTTTCTCCACAGGCTCTTCAAGATGGTGATCGACTGGCCGCTCACTATTCCCAGGCAGCTCACGATTCCTCTCGTGGAGGACAAGCGATGGTCTCGTCCGGTGGCAGTGGCGAGCGTCACTCTAGCTCCGGTTCTCCTCGCGTTCCTCCTGAGCGCCGGAGTTTCGCCCTCCAGCGCCTTCTACGTCTACTCCTGGGGATTTGGCAGTGGAGCTGTGCTCGGCCTGACGGCTTTCTTCGTCACGACCCCGGATCATCCTCCTCGGAGCTTCGTCTTTCCCTGGGTGGTGGGAGGATTCCTCATGAGCATCGTCTGGTTCTACATCATCGCCAAGGAGCTCGTGGCGGTTCTCGTCAGCCTGGGGGTAATCCTGGAGATCGACTCGTCGCTGCTGGGCTTGACGGTGCTGGCGTGGGGGAACTCGATGGGCGATCTCATGGCCAACGTCGCCATGGCTTTCAGTGGAGGTGATGGAGCTCAGGTGGCGGTATCGGGCTGCTATGCGGGGCCGATGTTTAACACTCTGGTTGGGCTGGGGATCTCGCTGCTGCTCGCGAGCTTGAAGACGTATCCAGCGTCCTTCGTCGTCCCCAGCGATCCAAGCTTGTACTACACCATTGGCTTCTTGGTGGTGGGATTGATCTGGACGCTGCTACTTCTTCCGGGGAGGAGGATGCAACCCAGTCGAGCGCTGGGAATTGGGCTTCTCGTGCTCTATTCTTCGTTCTTGGGGATGAGAGTCTTTCAAACTTTTGTTCACTGAAAGAAGAAAGCCATTGCTATTGTCTATGGTAATTTAGCTATTGTTCCTCAAAACTATGGAAGATCGTCTAGGAATAAACGATTGTGTTCTCCTTGGGCAGCGGAAGCACTCGAATCACATCTGAATCAAACTTTGGAACGGTGGTCATGACCAGATCAGCCGGCTCATCCGCTACCAAATGCGCTTGCTCAGCGGCACCACGTCCATGTGTTTCTCTACTGCGGGCGATCGATAAGGACAAAATGCCAAGAACCCTAAAATTACCTTTAACCCTAAAGGTGAATATTCGCCCGTGCCCTAACTTTTGAAAAAGCGCGCGGCATAGATGCTCGAGAGCGCGATGTATGGCGCGGGGCTCTCGGGCCAGAGCTCGCTCGCCCTCCTCGCCGCCTCCTCGCCTATCTCCACGTCCGCGTGGCCCTTGCAAGCGCTCAGCAGCGTCGTCCACGCGATGAGGTTGGGCGCGTAGGGCATCGTCAGGATCACCGCCAGCGCCTCACGGAGCTTGCCCCATCGCCCCAGTGCGTCGGCCAGGCACAGGAAGTGCTCGCGGCTGTGCGCGCATCGGTAGTCCGCGGCGATGGAGTGGAAGAACTGGATCGCGTCAGAGCCGCTGGTTGACGCCAGGACGCTCAAGAGCGTCACGTCGTCCACCTCCACGCCCTCGAGATTCATGGCCGTGAAGAGCTCCATCGCGTCGCGGCCCATGCCATTCTGGGCGTAGGCCGCGATCGTGGTGTTCCAGGCCACGGCATCACCACGGCCAGTGTTCCAGGAATCGAAGAGCTGGCGGGCTTGATCCAGCTGCCCGCATTTGCCAAGGAGATTGATTGCTGCGTTGCCGAGCTCGATCGACTGGCACAGCTCGTCCTGGAGGAGGGATATCTCGGCAAGGAGGAGCTTGCCCTGGGCCAGCGCCGCGAGATTGGCACACGAATCTAGCGCCACGACGAAAGTGATGGCGTTGGGCCGGAGGCCGTCTTGATCCAGGAGCTTGAGCAGCACCATAGCCGAGCTCGGATCGCCGTTCTGGGCGTAGCCGGCCATCATCGCGTTCCAGGACACGAGATTTCGCTCTGGCATGGCATCGAACAGCACCCTGGCGCGATCCAGATCTCCGCCCTGCGCGATCGCCGCGACGATCGTGGTGAAGGAGATCACGTCAAGCTGCGGCATTCGATCGAAGACCTCCATAGCGGCGATCCAATCCCCGCTCACGGTGTAGCCCTGGATCATCGCGTTCCAGGAGACGCTGTTCCTCTCTGGGATGCGATCGAAGAGAATCTTGGCCGAGGAGAGATCGCCGCTCTCGGCCAGCGCAATGGCCATGGCATTCCAGGAAATCACACTCCACGCCGGCATTCGCCAAAACACCGCCACCGCAGCCCCGATTCGATTGTTCCTGGCATAGCCAGAAATCATCGACGTCCAGGAGCTGCAATCCCGTCCAGCCGGCATGTCCGTGAAGAGCGCGGCCGCGGCATCCACATCCCCTTCCTGGCAGCTCGCCTGGATCATCGCGTTCCAAGCCACAGCACTCCTCTCCGGCATCGCTAGGAACAAAACCCTACCCTCTTCGATCTTGCCCTGCGCGACGTGACCCGTGACGATCGTCGTCCAGGAGATGAGATCCGTGAGCGGCATTCTGTCAAAGAGATCTCTTGACCGCCGCAAATTCTCTCTCTCGGCATACGCCTGGATCATAGCGTTCCAGGACACGACGTTCTTTCCAGGAGTGCGATCAAACAAAACCCTAGCCTCGTCCAGGAATCCATGGCTAATGTAGGCTTGCACCATCGAGTTCCAAGACACGGGGCTCTTCCTGGGCATAGAATCAAAGAGATTCCTCGCAACGGCAAGATGCCCGGATTGGGCATATGCTGCAAACATGAGATTCCACGACACGGTATCGTGGCTGGGCATCTTTCGAAAGAGGTTCCTGGCATATTCCAGCTCCTCGTGCCGCGTGTGTGCGCCCAGAGTGATGTTCCAGGAGAAAAGATTCCTGGTGGGCATTGTAGAGAAGGCTTGCCACGCGTCGCCAGCGCCGCCGAGGGCGCCGTACATCTGTACGACGAGATTCGCGACGAAGGCCTTGCGGATCCAGCCATTGCTGGAGACGTGAGCATGGATGAGCGAGACCTCGCTGATGCGGCGGCATCCACGGAGGAGGGACGCGTACGTGTCGGAACTGGCGGCCGCGATGCCACTGTCAATGCTTTGGAGGGCTTTCAAGATGCCGGGGTTGGGCATATTCCTGCCATCTCTATAGCATTTTCCCTATAGTATCTATTTCGCTGATAAAGCTCAAAATTTGAGAGATATGGAGCTTGTTTCCTACTCTACCTTGGAAGTATTACTGTTGTAATTAAAACTTGAGAGATATGGACTCTACCTTGGAAGTATACCTTTGCATTGTCCTGGATGCTCAGAACTTGGACCTTCATTTCCACTCTACCTTGGAAGTTTACTATCGTAAAGTCCTCGGCGTTGTGCTGGAAACTCAAAACTCGAGAGACATGGAGACTCTACCTTGGAAGAATACTATTGTTTGCCAATCCTCTTCATGGCGAGTCAGTCCCGATCGTGCTGCTGCTGGCACTGCTGCTGTCTCGGTCTTTCCTTCGCATCCGGGGAACCATGTCCATGGCGCTGAAGTATCCCGGGAGCAAGGAGCTCACTTCACCTCCTCGCTGCCGGTGAGCATCGCCACAACTTCGGACATTGCTGGACGCTGTGATGTTGTCACTTGGGCGCAAAGAAGTGCCACCTTGATCGTTCTTAGAACTTTTTCTTCATCAGCACAATCTGCTCTCTTCTCCAGGAGCTCTAGTAGCTTATCATTTTGGCACAGATCCCATGCCTGATCATCGACGCAAGTTAAAAAGTAGAACATTTCGTCGATCTTTATACGTACGTGATCGAGTCATGTGTTCAGTGGTGGTGTCCAGATTGGTTCTTCCGCTCACGATTTCTGGTGCCAAAACTCCATAGCTGTAGACATCTGCCTTCTCGGTCAACTGGCCTCTCAGGGCGTATTCTGGAGCCAGGTATCCCCTGAAAGAAGAATCGGAGAAGATCAGCTCAAGCACTTACAAGCTGAGCTCTCACATTGTTCCGGCAACCCTCGTACTGATGTGAGACTGATGATCTTCGAAGAGCCTTGCCAAGCCAAAGTGCGAGCCCTCTTGCGACTCCAATGCATATGTTGAAGCGAGTTGGCCAGCTGAGGTGTATATTTCGCCCCGAGGGACCTACAGAATACATGAAGCATGAGGGAAGCATTAGATTAAAGTACTTACTCGAGCACCTGATGCAGATTTTTGTTTTCCATAAACTCGAAAACAAGAATCCAATTGTTTCCTTCGGTGCAGCATCCATAGAGCTTGACTAGATTGCGATGCTGCACTGTGGAGATAAGTGTGGCCTCGTTCACGAAATCGCCCGTGTTGTCGCTCATCTTATTAAGCTGCTTGACGCTACTAACGTCCCTGAAAGTCCAAACACTTTTTTCACTTTCTGCACCTTCGCGGGGTCAAATCCTGCCGTAGCGTTTTCTTTTTCATTGTAAGAAAGCATATGCAGCTTTCCGTCTAGAAGTTTGAAGTCTGCATCGTACAGAGCATTGTTATGAATAATCCGCAAAAACATTAACAAAAAATGATCTTCATTGTCGTTCTCTTTGTTTTTTATGTGTCGTTTCCTCCACAACAAATAACCGGAGACCACAAAGAGCACCAGTGGCAGGGAGATTCCAAACACCTATTTTTACGCCTCTGGAACTGTTTTCGCACTGACTTGCGCCACCAGTTTCAAATTCTGTTAAACGCAAGTTTAGAACGATGACAAACTTCAGCAGTATCTAACACTTACCAGGTAGAACTTGGATTGCGGATATCAGAGGACCGAAAGATCTGAATGGAGCACAACATGTTCCTTTTCCCATCCAAAGAAGATGAATGTCCAGAACGCCGTTAGATACATTAACGGCAGTGAAGCTCCTTCTCAAAGCTCTAAGAGACCCATTGGCTTCTTCCCTTATGTTGAAATCTTTGAGCTTGGATAAAGACGTCAAAATACCGTCGACCCACTCCTGGCCCATCCTGGCCAGTGCCGATGATAATCTCTGCAAAGTGGAGGTGTACTGTGTATGAGCCACTTTGCATGCCAACTCCGAGGTACCTCAAAGATGTTGGCACAGCTCTGGCGGTTCGATACAGTACAGCCTGCCGACCAGCCGATCCTTCTATGCTTTGAGGCCAAGTGGGGTTATCATCAAAGGATTCCGCAAAACCAGAGCTGCTAGATACCCATCCTCCCGTTGAATAGGAGTCCCCGTCCATAAAAGCCCTTGGCATATCTGCGTTAAAATCTGTCCCATTCGAAGTGATCTGAGGTCCTCCACAGTTGATGGCGAATTGAAAACCTGAGAAAGAAATATGTCTAAATCAATCGAAGACTTTATATGCAGCAAATATCGTTTCTTTGGTTCACATTGCTGCAGTTTGCTATATCCTGTATACATGTAGAAGCATTCGCATGTTGCCTGCAACGAGAACGTGGTGAGATGAAACTTTTTGAGAACCTTGCACGTTTAGAAAAATTAATAGCATGTTGCTTAGAATAAAAACATGTACTCGCTTATTTGAGGGAAAGGTCCAATCAGCCTGTTGAACGATACATCTCTGTATATATATAACCTGGTTAGAAGAGGAGAACGATTTTGCAGTCTATGTACAAGTCGATGATCCTCAATAGCTTGTTCAGAAGGCCTCTAGCTAGATTGTTGCTTCCCAAGAAACTAAAAATGCTCGGCTTCCCGTTTAGATTTAACTCAATAGATGAAAAAACTTACAGTCTGCTAAGACTATCAAAAGATGATAAGTATGCTGGAATTGTCCCAGACAGGTTGTTGAAACTCAAATTCCTGCAATAACACCGTTCATTAGATACATCTTACAAGTTGTACACCTTCCTGCAAGCTTACAAATGTGTGAGCTGGGTAGGTCAGGTATAAAACTAGATAGTTAACAGTTACTTGGTGCATAACAGCCAAAAGTAAATGTGAACTGCTTAAAGAAGAAAGATTTATGGCTGGTGACTCACAGTTTTGTTAGAGAACAAATGATTGTAGCTAGGCACTATTCTCCCAATTCTTTATGTAACAAGCTATTTAGAAATTTAGAAAGAGTTTCATAGATTTACAATTTTCTCAGGTTTGTAAGCAAGTTACTCAAGAAGCAATCATAAGCTTCCTTAGAAAATAATTAAGGATTATATCTAAATCTTTAATAGTAAGTTTAGACAAAATGGTTTAGTGCTTCATTCATATGATTCACTACTTATAAGGTTATTATAACTAACATGCATCAAGATAGGACTCTTGATTGCATTATGTGAACATGAGCAATAAATTCACATCTCATTGTAAATCATCTCTCTAAAAAGAGAAAATAATTTATATGTTTGATCCTTAGTTTCTAATGACTCTCTTTTTGGATTAACTTTGACCAAACCTTAAACTTGCATTTGCAATATCTTCAGTCTAATCAAACAAAAGTGTATAAAATCCAATAGACCAATTTATTTGCCACTCATAGCAAATCCAAGGGACGTTTACTTTCACCCACAGTAATACGAAACACCTCATGATAACCATCGATAGGCTAACATTAATTCTGTCAACTCAATGTATAACTTTGAGTTGCTAATGTGCCTTACTCATGAGCCTAAGCACAAACTCATGCAAATGGAACATCTCATATCCAACTTATGAACCCAAGCAAAAGTAAATATATTTTGGTACAAAAGGTAACCAAAATCTATACATAAGGAACAAATGCAAAGTTATAACACCCAAATATGTACCCACTCAGATCAATGTTTTCATCTTTACATATACAACGAGACTAATTGCCCCAGCTCATTAATAGTACTCATTGAGACTTATTCTCTGATAACAAATGTAACACATGTGGTTTTCACCTCTTTATTCTATGGTTCTTTACCATAAGATTACCACGAAGTGGAACCTAAACTCTTTATATGCCATGTGTCCAACAATAATAAACTAGAATTTGAGTTTTAAAGCCTTGGACCACTAAATGAAGGGATAAAGCCAAACTCTTAATCATGGAATCAATGAGCTAAAGAAGTGGAGCATAGAACAATTTTTTAACGTACAACCTAAGGAGCAAAGGGATAGGAGTACAAAGTAATATAAGAATAGTTCTAAAGCATCTAGCATCCTAATGCTAAAATCAACATGCAAAATGAAGCTAAACAAAATTTAATACTATTTCAACATACCAATAGCTTAACATAAAGATATGGGTTCTCTATCAACTACCATAATATGGAATTTGGGCCTAGACCCAAATTAAATGCAAAACAAAGATAAACACACAAATAAGAATTAAGCTATACCTTAGGTTAATTGGCCATGCCCCCCACCCCTATTATACATTTAGAACCCCCCCTAAGGAATGCATATTTTGGGCTTTCCTCAGTCTCAGAAGTTAATCTTTAGGACAATCATAAAAATTTATTAAATATGAAATGGTAGTAGATTGCAAATTTAGACACGAGAACATCATCATGTTCACGACAATATCTACATTCCATAGATATGTATAAATAACTAATTTAGACACTTTCCATTTAATATATATAACAGACATGATAATCTATCATCTAGCAAATATTAAGGGATCAAACTCAATATCGCAGGGGTTCCTAACATTAGCAAGTGCATACTAACATATAAGTTTTTTATACCAGGTTGAGTATGCTCAACAAAAAACGTATAAGAGTTCCTACCTTATATTTATCCAGTATAAGTACATACATGATAATTAATTTCTCAACTAGTTTGAGTGGAGACTAATAAAGGGTTTACCAATCTCAACCCTCTACTGTCATAGCAATAAGGAAAGAATATATGAAAGAACTTGCCAACAAGTAACTTTCAATACACACAGTTACATTTGCAATAGTTCCTTAGAAAATAATTAAGCATTGCAACTCAAGCTTTCAATAGCAAGCTTAAAAAAAATAATTTAACACTTCACTACTATCCATCCCACAACTCACCACTTGTAAAACTATTATAAATAACATGCATTAAAGTAGAGACTTTTAATTGCATGATATAAATACAAGCAATGATATCATATCTTTTTGCTAAATCATCTTTCGAAGAAGAAAAGATGATTTACGTACTTGATTCTTCATCTTTGATGACTCTCTTTTTTGGACTCAAACTCTAACTAATCCTTAAACTTTCAATATAAAAAAAGTTTACAAAAGAGCACAACAATGATTATCTAAACTAATAAATTAATCCTTATAATTTTAATTAATCCACTCATATGCTAAACAGCTATAAACTAGCCTATTCACCATTCATAGCAAACCCAATGAAGGTTTATTTTTACCCATGGTAACATGGCCTCAAAGTGTAACCTAAATTGCTAATATGCCTCACTCACAAACCCAATTTTCTCAAACAAGAGGAAGAGTGCTGCCCTGATTATTGGGTGGTCTTTGCAAAATCAACATCAAGGACCTTTGTAGACCCTTTCAAGCAACAGCAAAAGCCCCCACAATGTGAAACTCAGCGAGTATATGAAATCCCAATCTTGTTTCTTGTCTGTTTGGACACTAGTTTTTCCATAGCTGTTCTTCCTCCTCTTTGTCTCTTGGTAGGAAGTGTTTTGTCTTCTCCCAAGCTTTGGAGTTCTCTTGTGGATTTCCTTTTTATTTTAGTCTTGTTTGGAAGCATTGCTTGATCAAAACAGGAACTCTTGATGGATGATCATCAAGAAGAGAGCATGGAGCATCCATTTCTAACTATAGTTTCTCTTTCTCGATTCCAGGGGCTCTAATTGCTGGCTCGGCTGTGGATCAGGTGAAAGAAGTAGTGGGATATGTGGGGCTGGGCTACCCGTTTGGTCTGGGCACCGGTTCTCTTTGGCCATACAACAAAGGCATCCTCCAGTCGGCCAAGCCCAAGCTGTTCGTCATGGGGAACTCATGATGGATTCACGAGCATCAAGCAGCTGGAATCCAAGCACAAGTCCGCAGTTGGGAGCTGAGACATACCTTGTCCCTGGAGTCGGGCCATTTCCAAATGGAAGCTCCCGACTACGATCCCATGATGGCCAACTTTGTCACAAAGTTTTGTAAGTGCCTTTGAGCTGTATTTTAAAAAATTAATAACCTCCAAACTTTTCTTACTAAAATTGTCATAAATACAAGATTGGGTGGATCTTTAAAGTATCAATTTTTGAACATTTGGTGAACAAAAAGGAATAAAGTTTGCTTAACTGAATAAACAGCCTAAAAGTTTAGTAAGCAACCATGGTTATATAAAGATTAAAACAAGTTCTATAAAGGGCGGATTTCTAGGGCTAGGGCAGAGCTGCAGTGATGGAGCTCCAGGAGAAGCTTGAGTACTTGTCGCTCGTGTCAAAGGTATGCACCGAGCTGGAAACGCACTTAGGGTGCAGCAACAAGACGCTGGCCGAGTTTATCATCGAGCTTGGCCGGCACAGCGAGAGCTTGGAGGAATTCGGCGGGAGGCTCAAGGAAAACGGGGCGGAGTTCCAGGATTACTTCGTCAAGAAGCTGCTGATGATCATTCACGCCATTTTCCCGCCCGTGAGGAAAGACAAGGATAGACATCGGGGGAGGGAGAATGTTAGAGGGAAGGAGCGAGATAAAGAGGAGAGGGATTGCGAGCGGGATCGAGATGGAGAAAGGCATAGGGACACGGATAGCAGGAGCAGTGGGAGAAGCAGCAGAGACGAGGAAGACCATCGTCGGGAGCCCGAGTCCAGGCCAGAGCTCTACAAGATTTACAAGGGCAGGGTGCAGAGGATAATGGATTCTGGATGCTTTGTTCAGCTTAACGGGTCCTTCGCGGAAGGACTCGTCCATAAGTCTGAGATGGCTTCTCGGAGGGTTGAGCATGCCAAGGATGTTGTGAAGAGGGGCCAGGAGGTCTGGGTGAAGGTGGTGTCTTTGAAGGGTGGGAAGATGAGTCTCTCTATGAGAGACGTGGACCAGGAAAGCGGGGACGATCTGGTTCCTATTCTCAAGCCATCGGGAAATGAAGAGGATGACTTTAGAACCAATCCTTCCATTGCCAACAAGCCATCGACGACAAGGATGGGCCTTTCTGGGATTCCACTGATCGACGACACCTCAGACGCTCCTCGGCCTTCCAAGAAAATGAGCTCTCCAGAGAGGTTTGAAAGAACGCAGCTGGCTGCTTCAGGGGTGCTGGGCATGCGAGACAATCCCATGCATGACGATGACGGAGGTGGTATGCTGTTTCACGATGATGGTGCAGAAGTAGAGCTTGAAATATTGCCGAACGAGGACAAGCCTGCGTTCTTGAGGGGACAAACAAGGTACTCGATTGATCTCTCACCTCTGAAGATCGTCAGGAACCCTGACGGTTCTTTGCAGAGAGCAGCGATAACTCAATTGCCTCTGGCTAAAGAGAGAAGGGAGCAGCAGCAGCGAACAATGCTGGACTCTATACCCAAGGACTTGAATCGTTCATGGGAGGATCCCATGCCAGAGACAGGAGAGCGGCGCCTAGCACAAGAACTCCGGGGTGTAGGACTGTCTGCGTACGATATGCCCGACTGGAAGAAGAATGCGTTCGGAAAGGCGCCAACTTTCGGACAACGGTCGAAGCTTTCGATTCAAGAGCAGAGACAGAGCTTGCCGATTTACAAGCTGAAGATGGACCTCGTCAAGGCCGTGAACGAGAACCAGGTGCTGGTCGTGATTGGTGAGACCGGCTCGGGAAAGACAACTCAGATGACGCAGTACCTGGCCGAGGCAGGATACACTTCGAGGGGGAAAATCGGCTGCACGCAACCTCGAAGGGTGGCCGCCATGTCCGTGTCCAAGAGGGTGGCAGAAGAATTCGGCTGCCGTTTGGGTGAGGAGGTTGGATATGCCATCCGGTTCGAGGACTGCACAGGGCTTGAGACCGTCATCAAGTACATGACAGATGGTATGCTTCTCCGAGAGATACTCATGGACGAGAACCTCTCGGCATACTCGGTGATCATGCTGGACGAGGCTCATGAGAGAACAATCCACACGGATGTTCTTTTCGGGTTGCTCAAGAGCCTGGTGAAGCGGCGGCCTGACTTGCGGCTCATTGTCACGTCGGCAACTCTGGACGCTGAGAAGTTCTCGGCCTACTTTTTCAACTGCAACATCTTCACCATACCAGGACGCTCTTTTCCAGTCGAGATTCTCTACACCAAGCAGCCAGAGACCGACTACCTGGATGCGGCATTGACCACGGTGATGCAAATCCACCTTACGGAACCGGAGGGGGACGTATTGCTCTTTCTAACGGGACAAGAGGAGATTGACACCGCTTGCGAGATTTTGCATGAACGTATGAAGGATCTGGGACCGAATGTGCCAGAGTTGATCGTCCTGCCGGTCTACAGCGCTCTTCCCAGCGAGATGCAGACTCGAATCTTCGATCCAGCTCCTGCGGGGACGAGGAAACTCGTCATTGCTACCAATATTGCAGAGGCATCCCTGACAATTGATGGCATTTACTACGTCGTTGATCCGGGATTTGCAAAGCAAAAGGTGTACAATCCGAAGCTGGGATTCGACTCGCTGGTGATCACTCCTATATCTCAAGCGTCAGCCAAGCAGAGAGCTGGTCGTGCAGGAAGAACAGGGCCCGGAAAGTGTTTTCGGCTTTACACCGAGGGCTCGTTCTGGAACGAGATGCTTCCGACGAGCGTCCCAGAGATACAGAGGGTGAATCTCGGGATGACGGTTCTGATGATGAAGGCCATGGGGATCAACGATTTGCTCTCATTCGACTTCATGGATCCTCCACAGTCCCAGGCGCTGGTTTCTGCCATGATGCAGCTCTACAGCTTGCAAGCGTTGGATGAAGAAGGTTTGCTGACCAAGGTGGGGCGAAAGATGGCGGAGTTTCCTTTGGAGCCACCTCTGTCCAAGATGCTCCTGGCGAGCGTGGACCTCGGCTGCAGCGACGAGATACTCACGATCATTTCGATGCTCCAGGCGCAAAACATTTTCTATCGTCCTGGGGAGAAGCAGGCCCAGGCGGATCAAAAGAGAGCCAGGTTTTTCCAGCCGGAGGGTGATCACCTGACGCTACTTGCTGTCTACGAGGCGTGGAGTGATAAGAAGTTCTCCGGACCATGGTGCTTCGAGAACTTTGTACAGTCTCGATCACTACGAAAGGCACAGGACGTGAGGAAGCAGCTGCTTACGATCATGGACAAACATAAGCTGGAGGTGGTGAGTGCTGGGAAGAACTTGACAAGGATCAGGAAGGCTACATGTGCTGGATTTTTTTTCCATGCCGCACGCAAGGATCCTCAGGAAGGATACAGGACGATTGTGGAGAACCAGCCTGTCTACATTCATCCAAGCAGTGCACTCTTCCAGCATCAGCCCGACTGGGTGATTTACAATGAGCTGGTTATGACGACCAAGGAGTACATGCGAGAAATTACAGTCATCGATCCAAAGTGGCTGGTCGAGCTTGCTCCCAGGTTCTTCAAGGCAGCCGATCCAACCAAGTTGAGCAAGAGGAAGCGGGAGGAACGTATAAAGCCGCTATACGATCGGTACCACGAGCCGAACTCATGGCGTCTGAGCAAACGACGAGGATAGTTTGGTGCTGCGACTGAGGTCTGAGATGGAGCTAACAGGCCAGACACTGGTGGTGGTGGTGGAAGCGTTCACCCGGCTGGATAGTATAAGTTTTGAGCAATTTAGGGCTCCTCTGCAAGATTAGATGTCCTTGGTCTTTTCTATAAGTACACCATCGCTGACCTTCCAAGGTGAAGAAGAAGTGGCTGATTGGAGTGAGACAGTATTTGTTGTGGAGGGCAAGCTTGCCATACAGGTATGAGGAGGTTTGACCTGAATACCCCCAGGAGCTGTCCCTACAAGACTGCTGCAAATTCCATGTTACACTCCTTTTCCATCCCCAATTGTGGTGGGGTTTCCAAGGGGGTTTCCATTTTGAATGTACCTATGATGTCCAGCCAGGTGAAGTACTGTTAGAAATTTGAAACCAATTCGAAAACATGAATACAATCAATGATAAAGTTTGTGATACTTATACTTTTAAGTCAAGAATAGTAACAACCTTATGATCTTTAGCCACAAGAAAAGAGTCAATCCAAAGCTGATGTCTATGTTGAAGTGTAAAATGCCTTCAATTAAAGTTTTGTTTTCATAAACATTATTATCAAAGCCTATTTTTTCTCAGCAATGGCTAATTCTTTTTCTAGGTAATGTTTATATTGCAAGTTAATAAAAAGTTCCTTATTTGTTAAGATTAGATTGAGGTAAATGTTGAAAATTGTTTATTGTCCATTGTCTACTAACACCCTTTTGCTCTAGAATTATCTGAGAATGAAACTTTTATTTTTCTTATATTACATCCTATTTAATTTAAATTTTTATTGTCTTCACAGGAAATATAAGCATCTTAATCCATTTCTACTGATTTGAACCTCACAACTACTTTATTAATTTTATCTTTTATTGTTTCTAAATAAAACAATTAAATATAAAAGAAGTATTATATAATTTTAACATTTATTGGAAGGAAAGTACTCTATGCAATTGACCATTTTAAGAAACACACCTAAATTTTTTTTTTACAGTTAGAATCATATACTTAATCAAATGTAATTTTATTTTATTTACTTAGTTTTTAAATGAAGTAATAGTTAATTGATTTTTTTTTTAAAGGATCAACAGAAGCTATTTGACAAGAGAACATAAGAAGCTGAATCTGACATTGTTGCATCAAGTGCTTGGCCAGCAATCTGGGCTCCAAGCTTTGAGTTCTCTTGATTCCTACAAGCACTAAGCAGTGTCCTCCATGCCAAAGGATCTGCCTCAAATGGCATGTTGTTTATTAGCTCCTCTGCCACTTCTAATCTCCCCGATCTTGCAATAAGATCCACAATACACATGAAGTGATCCATTCGTGCCTCAATTCCAAAATCTCCAGTCACAAGTATGAAGTTCTCCCTTGCATCGTGTAATTTACCAGTTTGACTACACAGGCTTAAGACAATTGTGAGAGTCACCTCGTTTGGCATCACTCCTTCAAGCGGGATAGTTCTAAACAGGTGAAGTGCTTCATGAGTCTTGCTGTTCTGTGCGTAAGCAGCGACCATGGTCGACCAAGACACCACATTCTTTGCTAGAATTCCATCAAACAGCTTGCGAGCTTCACCAAGGCATCCACAGCTCGCATACATTGCAACTAGCGAGTTTGCAACCGTTGTATCTTGATCAAAGCCCAGCTCCACAGCAGCAGCATGGAGAATTCTCCCTTCGGCCAGAGCTGTCTTCGAAGAACATCCATCCAAAGCACTCACCAAACTTATAGAATCCACTTGAATACCCTCAAGATCCATCAATCTAAACAGATGAACTGCAGTAGCTCCATCGCAGTTCTGTCCGTAAGCCGCCACCATTGCATTCCACGACACCAGGTTCTTCTCTGGCATCTCATGGAACAGATTTCTCGCGCTGCTGACATGCCCGTTTTGGGCATAAGCCGAGACCATTGCCGTCCACGCCACGGTGTCTCGACAGGGCATCCGATCGAACATCTCTCTCGCGTTTCGGAGCTTCCCCTGCTGCGAAAACGCCGCCACCATTGTAGTAAATGATGCCAAGTCCGGCTTTGGAGTGGAATCAAACGACCTCTTTGCATTTACGAGATCTCCAATCTGCACAAACGCCTTCGTTCGCGTGTTCCAAGAGACGGTATCGCGCTGCGGCATCGCCTCCAAGAGCTCGATGGCCTCGTTCGCCATTCCCACGTCAAGGAAGACCATGACCACCTCGTTCCACAGCACCATATCCCTCATTGGAATCTTCTCAAACATTTCCACGGCATCTCGGAGATGCCGTTTCTGGGCATATTCCGCAACCAGCGTGTTCCAGGACACGATTGTCCGCTGAGGCATCTTGTCAAAAAGATCCTTTGCGGTGTCGAGAGAGCCAGACAGAGAATATACCCTCATGATTGCGTTCCACGACCAGACATCCCACTGCGGCATCTTGTCGAACATGTCTAGTGCAGGCAGAAAATGCCGCGCCTGGGAATATGCGGTAACCATGGCGTTCCACGACACGATATCTTTGTCGGGCATCTGGGCGAAGATCCTCCTGGCATCGTGGAGATTCCCATTGCCGGTGTAGGCTGCCGTCATGATGTTCCATGAGTAGGTGTTGGGCGTCGCGATTCTCTCGAATGCCCGGCGGGACTCGTCCAAGCTGCCGCATTTGCCAAACAATTCCACCAGGAGATTGCCGAGGAAGGTGTTTCGATCCCAGCCATTTCCAACGAGGTGATCGCGGATTCGCCTGGCGGCGGAGAGCGATCTCGAATTCCCGCAAAGTCGGATGGCAGAGGCGTAGGTCGCGATGCTTTGGGGGGATTTCAAGGAATCGATGGCCGCGAGCACGTCGTGGAGGGAGTGGAGCTTGATAGGATCTGCCAGAGATGAATAGGATCTGGAAGTGGAAGTGGCGGCATTTCTTCCATTGCGGCAGCTCATCCCTGATCCCGGCCGATGGTCTCGCGAGCCTCAATCAAGCTATCACACTCGTTGCCCATTCGTGCTGCTCGATCGACCATGGCTATGCGAAGCTTGCAAACGCGCAAGAGCTAGGAAAAACTTTTCTAAGTTTTGGATTTCTAGGAGCATCTACAGGGCTGTCTACTCGTGTTTGCGAGAAAGCAAATCCATGGAGGTGGCAATGGCGAGCTACAGACATTTGAAAGACTTAGACGAGGTAACCTCTTCGATCATATTGATCAACCTATCTTTCTTCCTTTTCTTTTTCACAGATAGTCGTTTGCGAGAGATTTAATGGTTAAAGAATCGATGCTTTCTTTCGAGATGCCGGGGCTGGGCATATTCCTGCCATCTCTACAGCATTTTCGCTATACAGTTTAGGTTTACCGCCCACAATCTTTATCTCTATCTCGCTGATAAAGCTCATATATGAAGCTTCTTTCCACTCTACATTGGAAGTATACTGTTGTAATCAAAACTCGAGAGATATGTGGAAGTATTTTGCATCGTCCTGGAAGCTCAAAACTTGGAGTACTATTGTAAAGTCCTTCGCATCATCCTGGAAGCTCAAAACTCGAGAGATGGAGACTCTACCTTGGAAGTATACCGTTGTTTGCCGAGGAAGATCCTCTCCATGGCGAGTCAGTCCCGATCGCGCTGCTGCTTGCACTGCTGCTAGGATCTTTGCTCGATCGGCTCTCTCGGCTCTCTCGGTCTTTGCTTAGCAGCTCTCGCATCCGCGGAACCATGTCCATGGCGCTGAAGTATCCCGGGAGCAAGGAGCTCACCTTCACCTCCTCGCTGCCAGTGAGCATCGCCACAACTTTGGACATTGCTGGACGCTGTGATGCTGTCGCTTGGGTGCAAAGAAGCGCCACCTTGATCGTTCTTAGAACTTGTTCTTCGTCCGCATCATCCGCTCTTTTGTCCAGGAGCTCTCGTAGCTTATCATTTTGGTACAGATCCCATGCCTGATCATCGACGGCAGTTAAGAAGTAGAACATTTCGTCGATCTTTATACGTACGTGATCGAGAAGATGGGTCATGTGTTCACTGGTGGTGTCCAGATTGGTTCTTCCGCTCACGATTTCTAGTGCCAAAACTCCATAGCTGTAGACATCTGCCTTCTCGGTCAGCTGGCCTCTCAGGGCGTATTCTGGAGCCAGGTATCCCCTGAAAGAAGAATCGGAGAAGATCAGCTCAAGCACTTACAAGTTGAGCTCTCACATTGTTCCGGCAACCCTCGTACTGATGTGAGACTGATGATCTTCGAAGAGCCTTGCCAAACCAAAGTCCGCTATCTTTGCCACCAGAGCTTGATCCAAAAGTACATTGGTAGCTTTGATGTCTCGATGTATAATACGCGGTGATGACTCCTCGTGCAAGTAGGCGAGCCCTCTTGCGACTCCAATGCATATGTTGAAGCGAGTTGGCCAGCTGAGGTGTATATTTCGCCCCGAGGGACCTACAGAATACATGGAGGATGAGGGAAGCACTAGATTAAAGTACTTACTCAAGAGCGCCTGATGCAGATTGTTGTTTTCCATAAACTCGAAAACAAGAATCCAATTGTTTCCTTCGGTGCAGCATCCATAGAGCTTGACTAGATTGCGATGCTGCACTGTGGAGATAAGTGTGGCCTCGTTCACGAAATCGCCCGTGTTGTCGCCCATCTTATTAAGCTGCTTGATCGCTACTAACGTACCATCAGATAATACCCCCTGAAAGTCCAAACACTTTAGCTTTTTTCACTTTCTGCATAAAGAAAACTTTACCTTGTAGACCTTGCCAAATGCTCCTTTTCCCAACAATCTCGCGGGGTCAAATCCTGCCGTAGCGTTTTTTATTTCATTGTAAGAAAACATATGCAGCTTTCCGTCTAGAAGTTTGAGCTCTGCATCACACAGAACATTAGTATGAATAATCCGCAAAAACATTAACAAAAAAGTGACCTTCATCGTCGTTCTCTAAGTTCTTTCTGTGTCGTTTCCTCCACAACAAATAACCGGAAACCACAAAGAGCACCAGGAGTGGCACGGAGATTCCAACACCTATTTTTACGCCTCTGGAACTGTTTTCGCTCTGACTCGCGCCACCAGTTTCAAATTCTGTTAAACGCAAGTTTAGAACGATGACAAACTTCAGTAGTATCTAACACATACCAGGTAGAACTTGGATTGCGGATATCAGAGGACCAAAAGATCTGAATGGAGCACAACAAGTTCCTTTTCCCATCCAAAGAAGATGAATGTCGAGAACGCCGTTAGATACATTAACGGCAGTGAAGCTCCTTGTCAAAGCTCTAAGAGACCCATTCGCTTCTTCCCTTATGTTGAAATCTTTGAGCTTCCTGTCCCCCTGGATAAAGATGTCAAAATACCGTCTACCCACTCCTGGTCCATCCTGGCCAGTGCCGATGATAATCTCTGCAAATTGGAGGTGTACTGTGTATGAGCCACTTTGCATCCCAACTCCGAGGTACTTCAAGGATGTTGGCGCAGTTCTGGCGGTTTGATACAGTACAGCTTGCTGACCAGCCGAGCCTTCTATGCTTTGAAACCAAGTGGGGTTATCTTGAAAGGATTCCGCAAAACCAGAGCTGCTAGTTACCCATCCTCCCGTTGAATAGAAGTCCCCGTCCAAAGAACTTTGCATGTCTGCGTTAAAATCTGTCCCATCTGAAGTGATCTGAGGTCCACCACAGTTGATGGCGAATTGAAAATCTGAGAAGGAAATATGTCTAAATCAATCGAAATCGAAGACTTTATGCAGCAAATATCACTCAACTGTTTCTTTGGTTCACATTGCCGCAGTTTGCTATATCCTGTATACATGTAGCAGCATTCACATTTTGTCTGCAACGAGAACATGGTGAGATGAACCTTCTTGAAACAGGAAGAGAACCTTACCCTTGAGTTCTATTAACTTGGAACTGATTGCCAATAATGGTAGCATTCCTGTGCACGTTTAGAAAAATTAATAGCATGTTGCAAAGAAAAAACACATACTCGCTCATTTGAGAAAAAGGTCCAGTGAGCCTGTTGAACGATACATCTCTGTATATGCAAATATGTACTTGGTTAGAAGAGGAGAACGATTTTGCAGTCTACGTACAAGTCGACGATCCTCGATAGCTGGTTCGGAAGGCCTCCAGTTAGATTGTTGCTTCCCAAGAAACTGAAAATGCTCGGGTTCCCTTTAGATTTAAAACAAGAAGAAAAAACTTACAGTCTGCTAAGACTATCAATAGATGCTAAGTATGCTGGAATTGTCCCAGACAGATTGTTGAAACTCAAATCCCTGCAATAACACCGTTCGTTAGATACATCTTACAAGTTGTACACCTTCCTGCAAGCTTACAAGTGTGTGAGCTGGGTAAGATTTCCCAGGTCAGGTATGAAACCAGATAGCTGACAGTTCCTTAAGGACCTGGTGCATAACAGCCAAAGTAAATGCTAACTGCTAAAAGAAGAAAGATTCATGGCTGGCGACTCACAGTTTTGTTAGAGAAGTCAAACGATTGTAGCTAGGCGGTATTGAGCCTCCAGCTGACACTTCTCCCAGTTCTCTATGTAATAAGCTATTTAGAAATTCAAGAAGAGTTTCACAGACTTACAATTCTCTCAGGTTTGTAAGATTGGCAAGAGATGCAGGAAGCGGACCAGTGAATTTGTTCCCATACATAGCTCTGTCAAAGCAGCCGCATTCACATAAACTTGTAAGAATGAATTTATTGCACTTACAAAACTTGGAGACTAGACATGTTTGCAAGGAAGTCCGGTATCGAGCCATTGAAGTTGTTGTCGAAAATATTTCTGGTTCCAAGAAAACAAGTAAACATCACACCGACTTAAGAAGCTTACAGTGTCTGGAGCCTTCGCAAATTTCTCAAGGCTGGTGGGAGCTCCCCGCCTAGACCAGTAGAGTCTAAGTACCTTCAGTTCTAATCAAGTTGGTTGTCGACATGAAAATGAATGCAAGAACTTACAGCTCGGTCAGTGAAGACAGGTTACCAATTTCCTGCGGAAGAGTTCCTGAAAAATTGTTGACAGCAAGACTCCTGAAAAAGAAACAAAGCTTTTTATTAGAATCCAACTTGCTACTTTAAATTTGACTTACAGTGTCAACAGTCGAGTAAGATTTCCCATGGTTCCTGGAATAGGCCCCGAAAGTCTATTCGATGCGACAGTTCTACATAGCAAAGGTCAAAAAGAGACGGAAACGTAGAAACTGCTGCGAAAACTTACAAATGTTCCATGTTGGAGAGTAAACCGATCTCATCTGGGATCACACCGGTTATCAGGTTGGCTTGGAAATTCCTGTCAAAAAGAAGCGTTGGCAAGGCCCGATGCAAGATCCTTCCTACTTACAAATCATTCATGTAGGGAAAGTTTCCAATCTCTGGAGGAATTTGGCCTCTCACGTTCATGCTTACGATCGCTCTGGAAGATATATCAGAGAAACCAGCAAAGCTATAAAAAACACAAAAGAAACGCTACTATACTCACATCCTAGTTACGTGACAGACACCGTCACTTCCAATGGAGCAATCGCATTGAATCGCGCTGCGCCTCCGGAACTGATTCGTGCCGGTATCCTCACCCCATCCCGCGGCACCGCTACAAGGATCCACGCTGAAATCCCACGGCGGGGACAGGCCAATCGAGGTGCCCAGTGCCCTGAGTGCGCTCACTGTGCGGAGAAATCGAAATCGACCAGAATGGGAAGGAAATCCTCGAAATACAGAGCTCGCGCTTACCTTCTCTCGGATCGGTGACATTAGTTTGCTGCGCGGTAACGCATCGAAATAAGAAGATCGAGCAGAACCCTGTGGCGGCGATCAGCATTGCCGGCGCCATAGCCCACCGATCCATCGCCCCCGCGGTACCCTACTCGGAGAGACGGGAGAACACGAGGGCTTTAGACGAAGGAAGTCTCTATTTGCTGGCGACAGGATGAGGCTGTGAAGATGACATGAGAGCACCAAAGTATATTCGTTAAACCCGGAGTCGTACAAAAATGACGGGGATTAGACGTGGAAGTGACGTGGTCTAAGGCATATTCTCGTATCTAAACTTATCTCCTTTAAAGAGTATATTCTAGGATTTTTTTTTAAAACAAAAAAGGATAAATTAATGGTGTGAGGTCTAAGTGTACAGCTAAAATGCCATATACTAATATTAACATAGTGAAATTTTAATAGTTGTTAGATTGATTTAAATTGAGATCACTCACTCTTGTATATAAATTAAGGTTTTTGGGCTAATTAAGATGTACATTTATTATATTCCCTTTCTATATTCCATGCACTTACATTAGTGAAAATGAGAGGCACCTTTAATTGTCCCTAAGGAGTGCTTGAATTTAGGATTTTGGTTTAAATTTAGTTTTTGCATTGTTTTTTTTCATTTCTTTTCTTTTGTTATTTCCTTTCAAGATTTTGGTTTAAATTTAACTTTTGAATTGTCTAAATTTCCCTTTCCTTTTAATTTTTTCATTTCTTTTCTTTTGCCCTTTCCTTTTCATTCATCTATATGGTAGAGTAACAGTTTTCTCCTCTTTTGACTCTGGAGCAACAATTGATGCAATTGTTCAATATTATGTGATTGTAATTGAACAACTAAACTTAATTAATGACAGCATTCATAGCACGTGGTATAGCTCTTCTTGCTCTTAATGCCAATCCTCATGTTTAACCAGAGTTCTTTCATGCAAATCTTAGGGATGATGTGTACCATAGGCTCAATCACTTGTAGTGCACATGGTTTATCTTATAGTGATTTACCATAGGATAACCATGAAGCGAAACATAAATCGAGTTTCAGAGCCTTGGGACACTAAACAAAGGAATGTGGACAAGAGCATGGAACGATTTAGAACAGTCCTAGAACATTTAACATCCCAATGCCAAGACTAACACACAAAACGGAGCCAAACGGAGTTTAATGCTATTTCAGTATACCAGTGGATTAACATAAGGATATGGGTACTCCACCAACTAGCATGGTGTGAAGCTTGGGCTTAAACCCAAACTGAATGCAGAACAAAAACAAACATGCAAGTGGGAACTAAACTGTTTTTTAGATTAGTTAGCCATGCTTGACCTACCTACATTTAGAACCCCCCATAACCTCTTCCCCCCCCCCGGCCCTTGAGAAATAGACACTTTAGGCTTTCACCCCAAGCCTCCCTTAATATCAAGGACATTCCATAAAAAGTTTTAAGTTTGTTCCAAAGACTAACTCTTAAATTTGGACATGGGACAAACACCATTGTGTTCAAAACAATATCTATATTCCATAGATATGCCAAATGAGCAAATCTAGACACTTTCCATAAATAGCATTTGGGACCGAAATGAGACTAACACAAAGGGCATGATAGTGAGGGTGTTTGGCGAACACAATAAGCTGTTATTTAGCGAATATTAAGGGACGAAGCTCAATATTGCGGGGGTTCTTGATACTAGCAAGTGCAAGCCAATGACACAAGTTTCTCAAACAAGGCCGGGTATGCTCAGCAAAAAACACATAGGGTTCCTACCTTATGTTTATCAAATCTAAGTGCATGGTCATTGATTAGTTTCTCAACTAGTTCAAGTGGGAACTAATAATGGGTCCAACAATACCAACCTCCTGCCGTTGTGGCAGTAAAGAAAGAATATCCAAAAGTACTAGCCGACAGATAACTTTCGATACCCAAAGTCATAGTTGCGACAATAGTGATTGCCACATATCATTCTTGGGATGATGCTTGACGTTTATGTGAGTTTCCCATGTGTCTCCAAGGGATAGCATTGCATTGGTACAATGGTTTGACACAACCACTCATAAGGATTGAAATATTCTCCCAGACATCTTTAAATGCGCATTCGGACATGCCGATAATTGTGATGATGCCTTCTAGCAATTGCATCATCTTTGTCAAGGGCCATTTGAGTCAGTGATGCAATTTGGCATTTGTTTCCGAAACTTCTTGCTTCATGCGGAGCCAAATATGTTGAGTGAATCAAGCTGGGAATGTTGTGCCTAACACTTTGTCAAAATCTTGTAGGACTTGTGCATGCACTTGTTTTAACCACCCTTGATGATGCCCTTTGTTTGGCATGACATTATAAGATATCGCCTCTTCCACTTCTTATTGCATGTCCTTCAGCTCTACTTCCTATGAGAGATGGTCTTGTTCCAATAGAGGTTAATGCTGCTACTGCTTAAGTTTAAGGACAAGGGCAAGGACATGGTCATGGCCGTGATGTTCATTATTAGGCATGTGATGAAATTGGTTACATTTGTTGGAGTTGCCGGTGTTTTTCGGATTTGCAACCTCTATTTCCTAGGTGGAAACCTTGGTGTTAACAACGTCCTGTTGGTGCTATTATAGTGGAAGGTCTAAACATTGAGATGCATTTGGGAAACAAGGAGTTATGCGAATAATAGAAGGACCTTATGCAAATAAGTTAGTGGCCTCTCCATCTTTCTTTCAGGAGTATCATCAAAGGGTTTATTCGGCATTAGTTTATCCAGTGTTTACTTTCCAAGCTCGTTTTTATAACAAAAGGTCTCCTATTATTCTCTCCATGTTAGTTGATATAAGTTTGAGTTTATTTTCTATGCTCGACCTATTGCCACATGCTGCCATCTACATTTGCATCATACGGTAGAGTCAATTTTCATTTTTTATAGCAACGGCTGTACACACGCATATGCATAGGATGAGACAAACCTAAATGTGCGTGTGGGCAATCTCAAGCTTCGATTGTAGTCATTGCAAGTGGTGCTAAGTCAAGCTTTTGACCTTATCCTTGGTATAGATTGGTTGCAGTGCAATCATGCCAAATGTGATTTTGAAGCTTTTCCCCCTTATTTCATACTTCTTTATATTTTAACCATTCCTCTCACTTTTATACCTTTTAGTCCCTTTGCTTTTTACTTCTACTTCTATTACTTTTATCTCCCAATTACTTCCTCCTATATTTCTATCTTATTTCGCTCTTCCCTTTTACGATCCCTCCAACGATCTTTGTGTTGCAACAGTTGATTGACTCATGAAAGAGTATGTCAATCTCTTTGAATTTGACTTATCATCTAGGTCTAAAATTGCCACACATCATCTAATTCCAACTGAGGATGCTCGTGCAATCAAAGTTTCTATTTATTGTCGGTCACCCAAAAAGATCAAGATTTTACGTGTAAATGTCTAAGAGATGTTAGAAAAGGGTGTTATTCAAAAGTTGTGGAGTCCTTAGGCATGTGAACCTCATCTTGTGACAAAGCTTGATGGGTGTATTTGTTTCTACATTGATTATCGTTTGTTAAATTAAATGACAATCCCAAATGTGTACCCTCTTCCTCACACTGTTGATTTCTTGGATCGTTTGGGAAGAAGTCATTGGTTTACCAAATTATATCTTGCTTTTAGGTACTAGCAAGTATTGATGGCTGAAAATATTCCTAAGACTTCTTTTCATACACCATTTAGTTTATACAAGTTCTTGGTGATGCTATTTAATTTGAACAATGCTCTAGTGACTTCCAGTGGATGATGGACAAAGTTATTTATGATATGGTGAAGGTGACTGCTAACTTCACCAATGATGTTTTCATCCACTCGGAGGGGACGTAAGAGGAACACGTCTATCATATTCATAAAGTGTTGGATCAACTATGGGAAGTTGGTTTAAAGTTGAAGCCAGAGAAGTGCATGTTTGGGTATTGTATTTCTCGTAAGGGTTTGCAAGTTGATCCTAACAAACTTGTGGCTATTCTGAAGTTCTCTATTCCAAATTGTGTGAATTATATATAGCACTTCTTGGGCAAGGTGCAATATCTCAATTTTTTTGTGGATCATCTTTTTGATTGCATTGCACAATTACAAGTGTTGCTGAAATTATCAATGTCATCTTTCATTTAGAATGCAGACTGTGAGCAAGTGTTCATGGATCTCAAAGAGTTATTCACGATTCCTCCAATTTTGGTGTATCTTGACTACACTCAACCTTTTATTTTGTGCATAGAAGCTTTTGATATTAGTCTTGGAAGTGTGTTGATGCAAAAGAACCCGAGTGTGCCTGGTTAGTGTCGTTCTATTGCATATATTAGCTATATATTACACCCAGTGGAGGCGAACTACTCCACAATAGAGAAAGAGTGTTTAGTAGCAGTCTAGGGTTTTGAGAAACTTCATGCATATCTACATGGTTTTCGAATGTTACTAGAAGGTGATTATGCTACTATTACTTCATTACTAAAGTGGAAAAACATGGTTGGTTGTACTGCTTAGTGGGTTTTGAAGCTTTAGATATATGATTTTGATATTGTTCATCACCTACTGAGTTCTATGGTTGATGTTAATGCCTTTTTTCGAGCTCCTCTTCCTTCTTTACTTTCTTCTCATATTTTTGGTAAGCCTATTATTTTAGCATCTGTAGATTTTTTAAAAGAGGATTTTGTGCCATCGGCGGTTGATGTATTTAAAGTTCAATGTCCACAAGGTGCATTGCACAATTTACCTTCTTTTGATAAGGTTGATTGAGCTATGGATTTGAAAGCTTTGAGATGGGTTTGAGAATCTTACATCACTTGTTGATGACTTGCCATTCCAACATTTACATTCTCAATATTGCCTTGAAGATTGCCTTCTTTATTTTGTAAGGACGGATCCTAATAATCATTTACAGTTAGTGGTGCCTTCAATCTTTATTGCATAGTTTCTCCATGCTTACCATGATTCTTGTGTTCTAGGTAGGCATGTGGGACATCATCGTATGATTGAGAAGTTGCATTAGTCTTTCTATTAGCCAAAGATGCGACATGATGTTATTCGATATGTGCTTAGTTATGTTTGGTGCCAAGCTCGCAATACTCTCTATCGTGCTGTGGAAGGATAGTTCAAATCAATTTCAGTTTCCCATCTTTTTGAATTGGTGGTGTTGATTTTATGGGACCTTTCCCATGAT